CCTTTGCTTGTATCAGAGTATACTTTATTAACTACTCTATGCATTTTAGCTATTAATCCTACTAGTTCCTGACCTGTCACACATTTACACCTGACTGTTTCTGCAAATACCTCATATTCATTAAATGCTGTTTTTGCTTATTTTCAAATTCACGCGCTCTAATCCGTTGCTATATACCGGCCGCTGTTAACAAATTCAACCAAATGTTACCACTTACAAATTACCATCTACAATTTTTTTACTGGTTATCCTCTTTCCTCACTCACAAAATCCCTGTTACCATCAAGCCCGTATGACAGAAGACTGGGGCTTGGGGTATATGAGGTCCATTATTTAAACTATCCTTGCCAAAACTGGGCCATTTTAGCAGCCCATTAAACATTTCCCTCAAGAGACACTGATAATAAAACTAATGTTTTAAAAACATACGTCCTCGCGATGTCACATCTGGTCAAAACTGGGGTCGAAATTCATTCGTTAACTTTTCCATGACTATTCAAGTGATAATGCTGAAAGGTTTTTTTTTCTGCCTGCTCAAGCATCCAAGGGTGAAGTAAGCCAGTGTTTTCCTTGCACTATTTAAAGACGGGTTTTAGTGTGCTTTAATGCATCTATCAATAATTTTTCCTACTATAAACAATTGTCTGATTATAATGAAAAACGACCTTGCTTAAACCTTTTTTATGTCGAAAAAATACTTGTAAATTTGGCCAGTACCTTTTCATTACCTAAGACATACGTAGACTCTTTTATACATTTTTTAAGATAGTCTGCTCATCACAAGTTTTCCTATATGAGAGGCAACGAAGGTGAACAAACAAGTAGACAAATAAATCCTCGTGTCAGCAATCTTTTCGAAATAGCTAAAATATGGACGTCTTTTAGTCAATGTTGGACTTTTGTCTTTTATATGACAACTCTTCAGTCCTCCTTCACGAACAGGCAAAGTAATGCTTATCATCACTCTTTTCCCAAATATTTCATGTACTAGAGTGTTGTCAATAATGCTTCAGTTTATTCAGGAAACTTTATTGAATTATTTGCTATGTTCGGGGGTTATCACTCTTCAACACAAGCCTTATAACCATGGAAACTGAAACTGTTGGTAATCATATCTTTCGGTTTTGTATTGCTCCTTAAACCCTCTTACATAGTTACGATAGACCAACATTCCATTCCCCGCAATTTTTGGATAAACTGAGCGAACGATTAATTAATTCGATACAACTAAAGACACTGGTTGGATAGCATGTTTATGGTAACATCTAGCTTGCATGAAAACACACCTTGTGCTTTGAAAGGTATAGAGCAGAGTACTGGAGGCAGCCAAGCGAAATTTGGCAAATAGACATCTATCTTCATACGCCTGCAATTTATACCAGACATACTGCAGGTACACTCACTTGTCAGGGTTCTATCAAGTTCTGTCAAAAGGGTGGAGACTGTGCAGGCCTAACAGGCCTTATGCGTTTTAACAACTGATCAAAGCTGCGGTTCTGTGTTATAAATAAGTTTGCGCTTGTCAATAAGTGTACCTTAAGGCATCTTCTCACTTGTCTTGCAACACAACAGGCTTATTTGAAGAAAAAAGTAGTAGTTTTGCCGCATTTGTGAGCTTTGTTTCTGCCCTCATGATAGAGAGAAAGTTGATATCCACACGCGTCTATAAATTTTCAGATGGAGAAACAACTGGCGCGTCACACAACAAACTCACCACAGGACACGAATGATGCGCCCACCAGTCACAATGTCCAGCTGAGCCCACTCACTGAATTATTCTATCGCTTTCCCATCACGCCAGATAGACTAACCAATCAGCCGTTACCTGATTGCAAAAACTTTATCTCTTTGAGCACCAAATGCGATTCTTCCGGAGATACTTACAATGGTAAGAGAAAGGGTGCAAGTTTCTTTTGCCTCCAACTTTCTGCTTCAACCAAACGGTTTAAACAGGGTGTTCTTTCGTTTTTATGCGTTTTTTACCAACATTAGACGAGATGGTCCAGAAGTACTTAACATACCTTCAGGGCAAAAAGATCCCAGCCGCCATTGATGGACTGGATGTAAACTGTCCATCGGATATTACAATGCCCGACGAGGGAAGGCTATCCATCAGGAATATCCAGCTTGAGGGGACGTGCGGAGTTCGTTCGTCGAACGACGAAAAGGTAGATATCAAAATTGCTTTCTTTCGGACTTTCTTAAATTATTCTTTTATTGAAGTTTAGTTTGCTTACAGATTATATATAGTGTATTTATGTAACCTGAACATAGACATGACATTGGAATTTACCTTCAGGTATATTTCCCATTTGCGTACCAAATACATTGATCTGTGAATGGACATTTTCAAAAATATAGATATGCATTCGTAATAACGCAACAAACCTAGTGGTCAGCTAATGAAGAGGTTACTGATAGTCGCGTTTGGTTCAGTTATCAGGTTTAAAGCACATCTGCTTGTAGAATGGCTGCGGGAATTCCAGATGACCCTAATTTTTGCTGAAATAAAACCGAATTCTCACGAGAATAACCTCCAGAATGGCGGCATGTGGGCGTCCGGTTGAACGTAGAACCCTAGGAACTGGTAACACCTCACCCAGAAATCACTGGCTAAGGCATTACACCCAACACGACCAGAGAAGTCAGCCGTACTTTGGCAACTGAACTAGAATCTGAGGCCATTATACACTGATTACCATGGGTACCAACTTAGCTCTGAACTAGGGCCTACGCACAGCGACCGGTAAAATGTGGGAGCATGTGCGTAATGTCCGAAGAGAAGGTACACATACATCAATTCGCAATGACCTTGCCGCTGTCTGCCAATCAGAACATAGGGACCGGGGGCAGGGGAGGGAACTCTGGATACTGTGCGAGCTGATCTCCGTGTAAAAGAATTCGGCGCCCACACCATTCACGGCTGTTTGGATTACCAGTTGAGGAACGCGGGCAAAATAGAAATTTGCGTAGGACAGCTAGCCATCCGGGAGGAAACATACACGGTTCACTATCTTTCCAGGCAGGCAAGCAGGTTCTAGTGCCCGATTGTTCCTCCCTGTGAAACTGGGCTATAGCGTGCAAATCGAGAGATATAAACCAGAACTCACTGTCACAGTTTTCCACCTTTTCTTCCTTATGACCATTACCGGGTAAGAAATTACGTGAAGTGAGTATTTACGAAGCACAGGGGATCTTACTGGCAGTCACATCCACCGGTACGTCCAACGTCTAAAGTGCCAACTAATAGAACTTTTCAGAGAGCCGAATCAAGTTGAACTGCCTACACTTGTCAAGGGCGATTCAGAGACTAAGAACTGCTGCTAAAGTCCTGTTTCTTAAATCAACGTCAAATTTAATCATGAAATAGAGTATTGTGGAGTTTGGGGCAATGAAATCTGACTCAATTACGAAGCTAGATTTTAGCGGACATCACTGACAGCTGGCCTTCATTGACCTTATCAAAATAGAAAACGTAGAAATCGGGTTGTGATTATATCCCATTTTGCGATTCAGTACCTATTGAAGCAGTTTAAATTAAGAGCTCATTCCCTGCCTACTGCAATGAAACAAGTGAAGTAGCTTAAGGCTGTCCGAACAGATCCTGCAATAGAATAGCACACTGGATTACATTTATGCCCTTAACCAACACAGACTAGGGACAGTGAATTTTACTTTTCAGTAATGCGTATTCAGTCTCTTTCGACTTATGCTTTGTATTTGTTTTGTAGGAACTAGGCTTGAAAAGGCATCATGGGGAACAAGAACTCGTCGAGGAGAGTTCCATGCAGGAAAATGGGTTAGTTTGGTTCAAACATTCGTGTAATTTTGTCGTGCACATGAATACGAAAGGTAAAATGGGACAATCTTTGACGAGAAGAGAGCTTTCATATTATTTCGAATGCCAATGCACCCCATAAAGTTATAGGTTTGAGTCAGTCTGAACGCTATATTAGAAACTGAAATTTCCGAATACACGTATTACAGCATTATAAAAATTCGGCTTTCATAATATAAACCATAATATTGTGCATGGGATAGGGACTGGGTCATTAACAAAGTTTGCACAGTTCGTGTACATCAATTCTAAGAGGTAAATGTTCGCCTCAAAATAACTCAAACTGTTTAACGGCACCAAATTTCAAGAGTTCCTAGTAGACACTTGAAAGTTCCTGACCCGTTTAATACTTTGTTTTGGCTTTTTGGTTCTACTTGATAATTCTTAATCATAAAAATATATTTATCAAACATAAGTTTTTGGAAATTTGTCCTCGGATCTATAAAATTGTAGTGATTATGAAAAAATGAAAATGGACAAGTCTAATAAATGTCTTATGTTATGTTTTAATACCGCCAGCATGGCGAAATCGGCATGTGGAGGTCATTGGATTGGTGAAAAGGAAAAATGCGAATAAATTGTAAATATCGGTCATGGGTCGAGTGCGCTAAGTGAACAGTTGTCACGAAGGGGTGGTGGTAACATGCGATATCCACTTAGCGTCGGCCACGAAAGTGGGAGTGTCTGCATAATTGTCTCCTGACAACACAGTACTGAATGCTTGATCATTCACAAACGATCATGTGGAGTACCCATTTGAATTTTTTTATTTCCAAACTAAGGACCTATGTTTTAAAAGTATATCTATATATAGTTTTTGGAATGTGGCTAACACTACAGTTTTTTTGTAATTTCATGACAAACAGCATCAAGCGCCTGAAAAAGGGCGCTTATCGTGAGAACACTGCAGTCCTCCGGAATTGGTTGGACACTCACCGTTCGAATCCCTACCCCACGAAGGACGAACGCGATATGTTAGCTGTCCTAACTGGCCTGAGCCAACAACAGGTTTCCACGTGGTTTGCCAACGCAAGACGTCGCCTAAAGAAGCAAAATCCACTGATTCGCAGTACTCGAAACCGGCAACTTTGTGGCTCTGGCTTATGGCAGGCGATTGAACCCCAACCTAGCACA